GGTGGCTCTCTGATAAATAATGCTCCTTTCTTTCCCATGTGGTAATGAGGGCAAGTATGACAGCGAGGTAGCTCATTTTAAACAACTAGGCCATGTCTTGGCTCGGGCTGCCTGGGTCTAGAAGCCTTGGGGTATAAAACATTGACTCTAATTAATCGACTTTAGAATATCCTGGAGACGCTCTGTGACCATCAATAGATGAACCCAGAAGTCACGTTCAAGGTCACTTGAAGACATGGTGAAACCGAGGATGCCTGTTATTACTACTTGGCTGAAGTAAAATTGAAGCCACGTTTGAAGTCAGGGTCCATAGGCAATATAGCGCTCCCTTCTATATATATATATTTTCCATTCTTGTACGGTGATGTCAATGTAAAGTACACAGTGGACACAAAACACCCAAGGTACATAATTGCCCTCCGGATCTCAGAAATATTGATACCTCCTCTCAGAAGTTAGCACCACAATGGCCAACCGGATAAACAAATAAGGCGGAGTGATGGGGATCTATATACGCCGCTAAAATGAGTGACCATGTTGAGTCCATCTCGGCCTGTACGCCTCGTTGCCAGGGTCTAATCTATCGAATGAATTTTGGCCGAGTCGGATACGATCTCTGACGAAACCGTGCCATCACTAATGAGTACTACCCTGATCAAGTTCTGAGAGCCCCGGCCTCGACCTGCCAGGCTTCATAGTGGGGAGACAAGCGGGGAAAGCCCTCTTGGCATCTGGTGATCTGTTGCTCTCCACCAGTCAGCGTGCTGTATAGATGCTTGGCAGAGACGACGATTTCGATGTCGGGCCGGCATCAATGACCTTGAAGCTTTCAAGTCGTTTGCAATTTGCAGGTTTCGAGATGCTCATTTTGTTCAGGTTGAGCTCACACAGCTTAATCTACTTCAAAGCTAACATAACATGTATAAAGATATGAAATCATCAAATGAAGCACGGACAGTCTCAGGATCAACGCGGGGTGGTAATCAGAACAACTACTGACTGGGGTGCATGATCCCTGCGATGCGCCAATAGAGCATATGCTATAGTGCATAATATTCACTATTCTGTTCCCATTCCAGGACAAGATCAGCGTCATCCGCACCAAAAACGGACTGGTTGGATCCCCGATATTTGGCCGACTGACCAAGACCCTGCAAATGAAAAAATGCACTTGATGACCTTCGTGTTCGCTCCATTTCTTCCCCGCTAATTGACCTCAATCCAAAGGATCCAACTGAGCAGCAAATCAAGTCTACTGCTCTTCCTGAGAGCTCTTCTGCCCAGCCCCGAACCGGCCAATTGCCGGGCACTTGTAGCTTTCGGCCCAGACGCAATCTCCGCGCAGTCGTCCCGCGTACTTGGATCTGATTGATCTGATGTGTCTGATAGCCGAACGCCTGCGCCACCGGCCGTGCTCCACGAAAGTGTAAGGTGCATCCGATGGAATGTTCTGCCGCTAGGGCGCACGTCAAAACGCATATAAACCTGCGCTCCCTCACTCTGGATTCACTTCATCCTCAGTAACGGTCTAAGTCTCAACATCAACATGTTGAGATCGCTACTACTCCTCGCCCCCCTTGTGGGCGCCGCCGTGATCAGCGGCAGGGACAATAGCCATGAGTGTCCTGGTTACAAGGCCACGAATATCAAGGAGGGTGGCAACTCATTGACGGCGGATTTGACCTTGGCCGGTAAACCGTGCAACACTTACGGCACCGACTTAAAGAACCTGAAACTTCTTGTGGAGTACCAGACTGGTAGGTTTTCAGTTTTGAACGGCAATGATCTGTAGCTTACTTCTTTCGAGATAAACGTCTTCACGTGAAGATCTATGACGCCGATGAGGAGGTTTACCAGGTCTCCGAGTCGGTCCTCCCTCGCGTGGATGGCAAAGGTGGATCGAGCAAGAAGTCGGCGCTCAAGTTCGACTATCAGGCGAATCCTTTCTCCTTCAAGGTCAAGAGAGGCGGCGAGGTGCTCTTCGACACCACCGGTTCGAACCTAATCTTCCAGTCGCAGTATCTGAACCTCCGCACTTGGTTGCCGGAGGATCCTAATCTCTACGGTCTTGGAGAGCACACTGACTCTCTTCGCCTGGAAACCACCAACTACACGCGTACCATGTGGAACCGTGATGCGTATGGTATTCCTGAGAAGACCAATCTGTACGGTACTCATCCCGTGTACTATGACCACCGTGGCCAAGCCGGCACTCACGGTGTCTTCTTGCTGAACTCCAACGGCATGGACATCAAGATCGACAAGACCAAGGACGGCAAGCAGTACTTGGAGTACAACACTTTGGGAGGTGTCTTTGACTTTTACTTCTTTACCGGTGCTACCCCCAAGGACGCCAGTATCGAATACGCGAAAGTCGTCGGTCTTCCGGCCATGCAATCCTACTGGACGTTCGGTGTACGTTCCCTGGTCTTTTGATCTGCCCAAACCCCTTGTCTAATTCTCTACTAGTTCCACCAATGCAGATACGGCTATCGTGATGTCTTCGAGGTTGCCGAGGTTGTCTACAACTACACGCAGGCGAAGATTCCCTTGGAGACCATGTGGACCGACATTGACTACATGGACAGACGTCGGGTGTTCACACTTGACCCTGAGCGATTCCCTCTGGAGAAGATGCGTGAGTTGGTGACATATCTCCATAGCCACAACCAGCACTACATCGTCATGGTTGACCCTGCCGTCAGCGTGAGCGGTAAGTTACATTTCCTAGTATGGAGGGGAATCATATTGACAAACGCCTAGACAATGCCGGCTACAACGATGGCATGGAGCAAGACATCTTCCTGCAGACTCAGAACGGTAGCCTCTACAAGGGTAAGTCTCACGTCAAACGAACGGCACCCAGACAACTAACCTATACAGGTGCCGTCTGGCCTGGTGTGACTGCTTATCCCGATTGGTTCCATCCTAACATCCAGAAGTACTGGAACGACCAGTTTGGCAAGTTTTTTGACCGCAACACCGGCGTCGATATTGACGGTCTGTGGATCGATATGAACGAGGCCGCCAACTTCTGCCCTTATCCCTGCAGCGATCCCGAGGCCTACTCGAAGGAGAACAACCTGCCTCCCGCCGCTCCCCCCGTTCGTCCCAGCAACCCACGCCCGTTGCCCGGGTTCCCTGGTGATTTCCAGCCCTCTTCCTCGTCGAAGCGGTCCACCAAGGGATCCAAGGTTGGCCTGCCTAACCGTGACCTGATCAACCCTCCGTACACGATCCGCAATGAAGCCGGCTCCCTCAGCAACAAGACGATCAACACCGACATCATTCATGCCGGCGAGGGATACGCCGAGTATGACACTCACAACCTTTATGGTACCAGTAAGTAGCTGTCCAATCGGTGGGTGACAAGGACAGACTGACATTTCAACAGTGATGAGTTCTGCTTCTCGCAATGCCATGCAGCACCGCCGCCCTGAGGTGCGGCCTTTGATCATCACTCGCAGTACATATGCTGGTGCTGGCGCACACGTTGGACACTGGTAGGGAGCAACCCATCTCAATCTGCGAAACGATACTGACATTGGCAGGCTTGGTGACAACTTCTCCGAGTGGAGCAAGTACCGCATCTCCATTGCGCAGATGCTTGCATTTGCCTCCATGTTCCAGGTGCCCATGATCGGATCAGACGTGTGCGGGTTCGGCGGCAACACCACCGAGGAGCTCTGCGCTCGCTGGGCCCGTCTCGGAGCCTTCTACACCTTCTTCCGCAACCACAACGAAATCACCAGCATCCCGCAGGAGTTCTACCGCTGGCCCACCGTTGCTGAGTCCGCTCGCAAGGCCATCGACATCCGGTACAAGCTGCTTGACTACATCTACACAGCCTTCCACCGGCAGACGCAGACCGGCGAGCCCTTCCTGCAGCCCATGTTCTACCTCTATCCCAAGGACAAGAACACCTTCGGCAATCAGCTGCAGTTCTTCTACGGCGACGCCATCCTGGTCAGCCCCGTGGCCGACGGGAGCCAGACTTCGGTCGATGCATACTTCCCCGACGACATCTTCTACGACTGGCACACGGGCGCCGCCCTGCGCGGCCGCGGAGCCAAAGTCACCCTCAGCAACATCGATATCACCGAGATCCCCATCCACATCCGCGGCGGCAGCATCATTCCCATCCGGTCCGAGTCCGCGATGACCACCACCGAGCTGCGCAAGAAGGGCTTCGAGCTCATCATCGCCCCGGGTCTCGACGGCACCGCCTCGGGCAGCCTGTACCTCGACGACGGCGACTCCATTGAGCAGCGTGCCACCCTCGAGCTGGACTTCACGTACCGCAAGGGCCGTCTCCGGGTCAAGGGCAAGTTCGGGTTCCGCACAGATGTGAAGATCAACGCTGTCACCCTGCTTGGCCAGTCTGCGCCATCCTCCAAGTCTGGAATCCAGGCTTTCTTTGACTCTGGCCGCCAGGCAGTGACCGTCAAGACGAGCCTGGATCTCACCGGTCCTTCCGAGGTCGATCTCAACTAGTCTGTACAGATAGCTGTGAATTCGTCCTTAGTACTTAATCGAATCTCCGCCCTTGGCAGTGTCCCTAGTGCGCAAGGGATAATAAACTAGTCCACGTCCTGTCTCATATTTGTAGTCCTTGACATAGCAACACATAGAGGCACCCACCCACTTTGGCAAATCCACGTAAAACATGATTCACTCCCAAGAAGTAAGAACGCGGATGATTCCCATCCATCTCGTACGTCCAGCATGGATGACGATGATCCATACTTCATCCACGGGGCCACATACCACGCCATCTCAAACAATGCAAGGGACCGGCCACATAACAGACGCGCCCCGCGTCTATCCATCCCTAGGTAGTCTACCACAGTAACGCTTCCTCTATTTCAACAAAACCCTCAGCATCAGCCTAGCCTCCTTATCAACTTACACCTCTCCCATAAGTCAAACAACTCCCCACTACAACCATCAACCACATCCAAAAAATAAAAACCACACCACACCAACAGACAAATACCAAAATGAAACTCCAATTGAACCCCACAGCCCTCCTCCTCTCCACCCTGACCCTCACCTCCCAACTCGCTCGCGCCGATTTGAGCTACTACTGCGAATTGGCCAAAGACGGCAGCAAGATGATCCAGAAAGCCTACTGCTGCGACGATCTCGCTCCAGCGCGGTACGCCCCGGATTTCCTCCAGGGGAAGCAGTGTACGCCCTCCTCCTTAGTCCCTGGTGCAGTGGAATGGGAAAGAAACTAACGGACTGCTATGTAGGTACCCTTGCGGATGCGAAGACGGTGGGGGATTCGTGTCCGCATGATAAGATGATGCCGGTTTGTTGTTATACGATTGTAAGTTTTCTTTTTTCTTTTCTTTTTTTTGCCTCTGGCTTTGGGGCTGTTTTGAGTGAGGGGAGAAGGGCTGGGCTGGGCTAATGTGATGATAGGTGGATTTGTATACTTGTACTTCGAATGGGTATTTTCAGGATTTGTAGGGACAAAAGGGGGGGGTACATATGGTAGATGTGAGGTATGGTGGTAGGGGATGTGAATTCACTGGATATGGATTGTTTATTGTGTGCTTGGTTATGATTACTGAAGAGGAGACCCTCGAGATACTACTGCAGGAATAATTATAGAGCCTAAGCTGGTACCAAATGTTAGATCTTCCATCATTATAGATTACATTATTTACGAGTCAGGAAATTAGCCGACCTGGACTAAGATTACTCAAGTGGAGATATGGAAATCCCCCATTGCGCCTTCTGCCGACATCTCGGCAAATCTTTCCACTACAATTAACTACAGTTAACTACAATTAATTAATCAAGCAAGCACAGGAGACTAACTCACACACCGGATAACCGGCTCACCGGAGTCTGACCGAGATTATGACGGTCTCTTTTCTTTCATGTGATGGGAAAAAAATATAGGCAACTGCATGTACATCAAGTCGTAAGTCGTAAGTCGTAAGTCGTATCGCCGCTAGCCATGCACACACATCAACTCTTCGGCGTTCGATTTGAACACCCGCTCAGTTAGGCCAGTCTCACTGCCACATAACCGCAGACATAACTCGGTAAACGGGCCCACGTCAACTCCATGAAACCGCGTATGCGGCCAGTCTGTCGCGTATATTACCCGCCTCGGAGCCCTGCGTAAAAGCTCCCGCGTGATAGCCCGAACGTCGCGCAGCTGTTTGTCCTTGCTGAGGCGGTACGGGGCCGAGATTTTGACGTAGGTCTGTCCCGCCTGGAGGAGAGAGATAAGCGCCGAGAAGCCTGGGAGGGTGTATGGGTTGAATTGACGATCGGTGATGATCGAGGGTGGAGGGAGTTGAGGAGATCCAAAGTGGTCGATGCAGATTTTGACTCCAAGGGACGGAACGATCCGCTCGAGCATGGGAATCACGTGCAGAGGCAAGTAAAGCTGGATCATCCAGCCGAGGGGACGGATGAGCTCGGCGTGTTGCGAGAGGGTTTCGGCTAGCTCGGACTCGGAGAGGACTTTCCCTTCTGATTTGAGGTTTACTCGGACGCCCCTCACACCTAGTGTATGCCATGCGGAGAGAGTCGTGGGACAGGTCATGGCCGGGTCGATGACCACCACTCCTCGCCCGCGAGACGGGCCGATGCGTCCCAGGGCTTCGAGGAGGCATGAATTGTCGGTACCGTAGACGGATGGTTGGACGAGAACGATGTTCTCGATTCCCAATGTAGATTCAAAAGCAAGCGCCTCCTCAAGGGTATGAGAGGAGGGTGCGTATGCTGCGCCTAGGGAGACCGGGTACCGACTCGGTTCCACAACGTGCATGTGGCTATCCCATGATCCTGGGGGAATACGGTGCTTGAGGGGAATCGGATGTGTGATTTGGTCACCTTTGGTGATTGGCTTCGCCTTTCTGGCGGCCAGGCAGATTGAGGCTCGGGGTGAGCTGTCCGACAGGCATGGCCTAGACTGGAGGGGAGTAAGTATGGTTGACATGATCGGAAGTCAGGTACTTCAGCGAGTAGATGCTGACGAGTGTGAACTTACAAGTGTTAGAAGTCGAGGTTTCTGGGCTGCTCGTCTTAGTAGATCAATCCGTAGGACTGTCATCGTGGAAACCCGCTTCGAGAATCCACGCAGTGTGCCACCTCAGCAAGGACTGTGGCTAGAGTCATGAACATGAGAACAGTCCAACCCCCGTTTGCTTTACCAGAGATGTATGGCTATTAAAGAGATAGAGGGGAAGGGGAAAAGAAAGAATTTAAAAGGAAGGATGGCATGCAATTCGCGTCAGCGCTGAGACACATGGAGCGGAAGGCGTCCGTGTCTGTAGATCAAGGGCTCAGCGACTTCATATCGCATTCCTTGGATCCTTCAATTGACCCATGATCCGTCACCCATTCGACCATTCCATTAAGGATAAATTCGGTGTAGCGGAGACTGGAGTGGATTGCCAGCGGATCCATCCGCCAGATCGCCAGCCCTGCCAGGCCCCAACCCCTGCTAATATCGGAGGGTTCCGAAGATTGATGGATTTAGAAGACTCTTCCTCTTCGCCAATTAATCCTGTGATGTCATAGTGTCCTCAAGTATCTGAATCAGAACCATCACACAGAAGTACTATCCCTGTGAACGATGCTGCCTGCACGCGCAAGAGACACTATAAAAAAATCATCGGAAGTTGGCCGAGACAAAAGCCGTGTCATGTGCTCTTCCGCCCCCCCCCTCCAAATTATCACAGGTCCTGCGGAAGATACCGACCTCAATCTTCCAGAACGAGGCCTCGGTGGATATCCGTTCATCTGATTGTCCAAATCATACCAATCCAATCAATTGGAAATTCCAGCAAGGGTTCTCCCCGCGGAGCTTGAATTAGTGCTTGCTCTTTTAGTTCTTCCCCGCATGTCATCAAACGTGCCGTCGCCATTATGAGGCTGGCGATCGACTGGTCTCGGTGGACCACCAGCCCTTATTACGCCGTCGTCATTCTGATTATTGCCTGCGGGAGTATTCCGAAAGGTATATGCATCTTTATTTCTCCACCAATTCGTGTGCTGACCATGGATGTCGTTTCAATCGGCAGGTTACGATGAAGGTGGCTTTAGCGCCAGTGTCAATTTGGAGTCGTTTGTGAACGATTTCCATCTCGCGGCTTCTGCATGGACGAACAACAAGACGGAGTTGGCCAACCGGAAGGCCAACATCACCTCGTTCAACGTTTTGGGTGCTGCGTTTGGTGCCCTGCTCGCATTGGACCTGAACGATCGACTGGGCCGCCTGCGCTCGTGGCAATTAGCTTGTCTGATTTGGGCGGCCGGTCTCTTCGTTCAGGTCTTCTCCTCCGGCATATATGGTTTGATTCTTGCGGCGAGACTATTCAGTGGACTAGGGGCCGGAATGCTCACAGTCAGCACACCTTTGTATTTGTCCGAAATTGGTATGGGTTGCGCAATCTAGAGACGCTTGGCTGAGACAGAAAGCTGACAATCGGTTAGCGCCGACAAGAACTAGAGGTTTGGTGGTCAGTATCTACATGGTTGTATTGTTGACTGTGTTGGCATTGGGTTAGTTATCAATTTCCAAATGCTTATATGTCCCACAAAGCTGACCTTGCCAAAAAGGTTTCTTCATCAATTATGCCGCCAGTCTGCATATGGCGCCAACGCGGACCCAGTACCGTCTCGTGCAATCCATTCCATTAATACCAGTCGGGATTGCGTTCTTTGCGTCCTTCATTGCACCCGAAACGCCTCGCTACTTGGTCTCAAAGCACCGGCGTGACGAAGGTCGGTCCGTCCTCGCTCGTCTGCGCGGCAAAGAGATTTCCGACCCAGCGATCGAAGACGAATTCAACAGCATCGATGCGCAAGTGCGGACCAAGGCGATGGATCTGGCGTCGGTAACCCATTGGGGAGCATTCAAAGAGACCCAACTCAACCCTAACTACCGGCAGCGATTCTGGCTGCTGATCGCCATGCAAACCATTTCCCAGTGGACCGGCGGCAACGGCATAACCTACTATGTCGCCACCATCTTCCAGTACGCTGGAATCGACGGCAGCGCGCGCTCGCTCGTCTCCTCAGGCGCCTACGGGATCGTCAAGCTGGTCTTCACCATGGCTTTCACCTGGGGGCTGATCGACTACCTCGGCCGCCGGCGGTGCGCCCTCGCAGGCCTGAGCCTCCAGCTCGCCGCCCACATCTACATGGGAGCATACATGGGCCTACAGCCGGGCTCCAGCACCAACCGCTCCGCCTCCAACGCCGCCATCGCCTCCGTCTTCATCTACGCCGTCGGCTGGTCCATCGGCCTCTGCACCATTCCCTACCTCTACGGCACGGAGATCTTCCCCACCCGCATTCGCAACGTCAACTACGCGATCAGCATGTCGCTGCACTGGTTCTTCCAGTTCGCCGTTGTCCGCGTCACGCCGAACATGTTCGTCTCGCTCGATGTCTGGGGCGCCTACCTGTTCTGGGCGATCATTTGCTTCTCGGGGCTCGTCATCTTGGGCATCTGGATGCCTGAAACGAAGGGTGTGCCCATGGAGCGGATGGGTGATCTCTTCGAGGGACCTTGGTACTTGCGCTGGCGGGCGAAGCCAAGACCAGTCAGTTCATCTTTGCCTTCCCCGGCTGGGTTGGACCCGGGCGTTGATCCTGGCGAGAAGAGGCCGGGTTGGGGGAATGTATCTATTTGAGCTACTATCCTCAAACGAGTGCCTGTTTATGCTAGGGCTGGTGTGTATATATTGTCTCCTGTGTACATTTCATTCCGATATTTGACTGTACATACATGTGAAGAATGCACGGCATCTGTTCATACAATTCTATCACTTCCAAGTTGAATATACTACGATGAACAGTAACAACTTCATGGATATCACAATAGACCAACATCAACAGCAAAAATACACGCATCCAGGTGATCATCCTGACCTGCCCCATGCCGACTCAAAAGCAGACGCCATGTTAGCCGTGATAGGCTCAGCGTATGAGAACGCTTCAAAGACCTCGGGCGTAATCTCGTACGAACCCGGGTTGTCCAGCGTCATCGCCGCATTGGGCATACCGCCTAGTAGATGCGTCGCAGGTATGGGCGGCACGCCCGTCTGTGACAGTCCGAAATCCGCGACGGGTTGCTGGAATGCGTAGGCCTGGTGCAGCAGGGGCGCGTTTGTGGCGCGCGGTGCGGGGACGGAGGTTGGCATGGTTGGTGCTTGGCCGGCTGGAGAGACGTGACGGGAGCCGCTGCTCAAATTCAAAGCGGGTTGACCGGGGTGCTGACTGGGGGATTGACTGTGGGTTCGTGAGTGTGTTTGCGAGGTGGGTTGTGAGGGTGAATGTCCGGACTGCGATGGTGGGAGGGTGATGTGAATGTCAATCCGGAACTTCTCCAGTTCCTGGTATATGAGGCCTAGAGCTGTGATGATGACTGAGGAAAATCAGCATGGGCTTGTTGGTGTGAGAAGTGCCGTGACGTACCAGGACTTGAAACCTTGACTCGT